TTCTCACAACCCACCTGTAAGTACCTTTTCTGTTGTGTGAGCAACGGAAGCCGTTTAAATAACAGAGGACATTTGTGCTAAACACAGACAAAGCAATATGATCGTGGATATTCTGAAAATTTATCGAGGGAGTTTCACCTTCTGCCCTTTTCCCTAGCCTACTTATAATGTGACTGGTAGCTGTTCAAATAAAATAATGCTCACTTTATAGACTGCAGTGTGGACCAAGTCATATGGTGACTTAAAAGGGGTGTTGTGATATGTTTTTGTAGATTATTTTTGGACAGCACGATGACAAATAGATCAGTGGCAAAATGCACCAGCAATCATTTTGGTCTTAGCCTTTCAGACCTTGCAGAGCTATGGCACATTCACCTTATTCAATGATCTTCACTATTTCCTTATTCCATGTAATTTTTCTTAGTCTTTGTACAATTCATGTCCAGTCTTAATCTGCTTTGTATCTTGCCAATAAAATCCAAACTCGATGGCAGAGAAATTTGCTTTAGTTAATGACACATGGTTGAAGTTAGGTTGAAACAACCAAGCTGCACCAAGAGTGTTAACTTAGGTTATTCAGCAGAAGGAATATTGAGAGGCTGATCATTTGTTGTTTTCTGTTGGCTTGAGGAGGAGTCAGGCAAGTGATTCATTGTGGGAGTAGGAAAATATTGGCTTCAGACATACTAAATTATTTTTAATAAAATTATCCAAATTTATTAAGGTTCCTTGCAATAGAGATGTACTCGCTGGTGTCCTTAACAGTCTGCCAGCTCACTGCAGTTGAATATTTTAAATTTCTTTAATATATCTGGAGATGATTCAAAGCAAAGGTTACCTGATGATGACTAATGTCTAATCAATACCAATATGTGTGGACAAATGTGGTCACTGCACTTTACAGAAAATTCTGTGAAGCTCTTTGAGGTGTTGCAACTCTGCAGTAACGTGCTCTATCCAATATTATTCTGCAAACTGCAGCAGCGTCATTTTTTTATACACATCATTCGCATTGTGTTAATGAATGAGCCACTCGGAAAATGACGCACAGCCCAATATAAAGCAAGGTGTGATGTATTCAGTGTGAAGCTTTATTTAGACCTGACTGAATGGATCATGTAAGTAATGATGAAGCATTCTATTAACTCTTTTTAGTAATCTTGGTTTATTCACCACATATGATGGGATTAAGCTCAAGAAAAATTGAAATTGTGCTTGTTAGCAACAATATGGGATGAGGATGTCGGAAATACAGTCCTGTCTTCTGGCCAGGTTCCTCAGGTCTGTTCACTTTCATATCCCTCCACAATTTTGCCCTGCGATAATGTCCGACCCTAGTGTTCTGGCTGTACTTCAATATTCATAGCACTGATGCAACAGAACTGTTTTGTTTTTCAAATTAATATGCCACTTTGATTTATTTTTTCTTTGGTTCATGGTACTGTTTTTGGACCGTCCCTATTTTGTCTTGGACTGCATGTGATTCTGAAACTTTGGGGTGGATTTTCGCTTTAACTTAAATAATAATAATAATCCTTGCATTTGATATAGCGCTTTTCACGTCTTCTAGACGTCTCAAAGCGCTTCACAGAATATACTGTAAAGTGAATTGACTGTATATTTGTGGGCGATCGCGGCAGCCAATTGCGCACAGCAGTGTCCCACAAACAGTCGTAGATTGAAAATGACCAATTTATTATTGTTTTTTGTTTTGGAGGGATTATTATTAGGCTCTGTGTGGAGTAAGGAAACTTAGCCAAGATTTCATCCTGCCGGGAATCGAACCCAGGTCTCTCGCTTGCAAAGCGAGTGCTCTAACCACTGAGCTACGTATTGTTGAGTACTCTTATCAATTTATTTGAAAGAAGCAAGTAAACGAAGGCAAAAGAAGCTCTGAGAAGAGTGTTTGAAATTTCTCCATGACCTCCACAGTGAAAGCTCCAAAAATATCATATAATATTTGTTCAGCCCTGACCAATTGCGTTCCGTAGGTAATGTCTCCATCTGTTCAGCTGCATTAGAAACCATTGTGTTCTTTGGAGGATTTCATCATTTACGCCCCTCCAATTTTCACTCCCATTCTTCACCAGATGCAGTTCTCACTTTACAAACACCACCCTAAAAGGTTCCTTAAGTTATGGTGGAGCTCACCAGGGCCAGAAGTAGTCCTCTGAAAAGGTATCACGTGACTCTGGAGATGACCACTGTTGTATGTTTGCTATCATTGAAAAAACTTGGAAAAAAAATCCTTGTGAAATGCTGCACTCTGCTGGAAGGTCACAGGGAGTTAGTTTGTAGTTTGGGGAGTTGTCATGTGTCAAATGATCAATGAATGATATTGGGTGTGGGGGGTGAGAAAAATAATTGAGGTTTCCTTCTTATAGTCTTGTGTTATAATTTGGTGCGAATGTGCGAATATTACAAATTCTGAACTCTTCATATGCTGTCCTGGTTTTTTAAATTTGCAGCAAATTCTGACTTCTGCACAAAGTCAGTTTATATTCTAGAATTATAGTAATACTTTCATTTGATATACAGTAGAGCCTTTCTCATTGGGAGGATATCTCGAAGTCTTGAAGCATAGGATTTACTGTAAAATGTACTGTTTTTACTTTGGATTTTCTAGGCAAATGTACTAGCTGATCAAACTTGAGTGTGTTGAATTAACTCACAAATAAATTGGCATTGTACTTCATAGTTGCTAATTGAGTCAGTTAGTTCAAGATTCCTGAAAATTCAATGGTGGAGCCTGTACTGTGGATAGTTCTTCTCACTGTGTTGAGATTGGTGATTCACAAGAGAGTACAGATGAAAAAAGCCCTTTAACACATTCTAAACAATGTGATGTATGTATCAAATGCAAGGATTATTATTACTTTGATCTCATCCTTAATACTGACTCCACCCTTTTTCCACTGAGACATGAAGCTGTTACCTAAATAATTCCAATATCCTGGTCTCTACCACCCTTCTTGTTTACCTGTTTGATTGCCTTTGCAAATATAGTAAATATTTTTAGATGTCTGTTCTAACCTTGCCTTTCACATCCCATCTAATGAAGGGTATTTGCTCTGAGACCTATTGAACGCCAGCTTTGAAAAAAATATTCCACCTATTTATGGTACTCTGGTACTTAAATGTGAGTTGAGTACTTCGAGTACATAAAAGCTGCCGCGCTGCATTCATTTTCACCAGGATTTCAAGTGTTAGAAGCCACAGCGGACCCCTATCTGCTTAATTGCAAATTGGCTATCTCTTTGTGTGGCATCTTTGTCTATTTAATAACCAAAGTGATTTGTGTTGCATTTTCATCGCAGAGTGATGAAAGTGATGAAATTTTGCCTAGAGTCTTATGATTGTTCAAATCTTCTCCTTTTCACGTGTTCCCTTTGTCGGAAATAAATGTGTTGTCGAAAGATCCTTTTGGGAAACCTTTTTTTTCCATTACTGCATTAGCATTAATATTAGTCTACACTATTCTCTTGTTCCCTGATCCCCATCTCAAAGGCACTGATTCCTGTTCAAGGTACATTTCCATGGGAATTAGGTGACCTGCAATACAATCAGACAAGTTGTGATTCTTCAGATCAGCATCTTTGGCTGGCTGTTGAACCAATTTTGTTTGCGGGAGGGGAAAGGGAAATCATATATACAGTCAATTCACTTTACAGTATATTCTGTGAAATACTTTGAGATGCCTCGAAGATGTGAAAAGCGCTACATCAAATGCAAGGATTATTATTATTTTTCCATATCCACACTTTCTGAGGTAGTGATGGAATGCAAACACAGTGCTAAGGAGTGGGTACTTTTCAAATTCCCAAATTCTGAGGCCACCATTTGGCCACCAGCCTCAATGATTGTTTTAACTTGCTCAGGCTGAAGATTGGAAGTCTTTTTTCTTAATCTTTATTCGAAAGTGATTTGGCAACCTTTTAGATTTCTGAATCCTCAAGATCCTGTTGACTGAGTGCATCGAAAGTCAGCATCATGGGGCTCAACTGCCACCTCTTCACCAGCTGTGGAATTATAAAACCGACAGGCAAAATGAGCTTCGAAGCTGCATCTTCTGTTGCTGTCAGTGCTCTGCCCGTTATTTCTGGGGAGAAAAGGCAATTTTTGGAAGCACGTTTACTTCTCGTGGCCATTCAGTGAGGAAAATCTTTAGTTATTACATTTGAGTTCACTTTGTACAATACTAAACGTTGCCTCGACCACCCCCTTTGGAAGGGAAGGGATCAGGATCTAAAGCTTTGATCACCTTCTGAAATGTGATCATGGCAGTTGTAGAATCTCTATGTGAAAATTAAAACTGATCTCAGGAATGAAATTTAACGATCTGCCAGCACTCATGAAAAAAAATCTTGCGTATCTGGGCTGCATGGGGCAGTGTCCAACTTAGAAGGATGAATAATAATAATCTGTGCATTTGAGTTAGTGCTTTATCATGTCGTTGAGACATCTCAAAGCATTTCACACTATGTATTGTAAAGAGGATTGACTGTATCTTGTGGGCGAAACGCAAAATAAAAAACACAAAGACTAATGGTTGTTGGTTAAAAGTTATGTTGTAACTGAAATACATTGGGGAGAGGAAAATTGGCATTGTGTTGTCAGTTCATGTTAATTTCCATATTTTGTTCCTCAATCTTCCCCCCCCCCCCCCCCATACACACACGCACACACATGCGGCTCCACACTCTCCCACCACCCTCCCACAGATACACAAATAATGGTAATGGATTATTTAATGATCACAAATAAAGCCAGACTACAGCTGCCTTCTTAGCTGGAGGAGGTTGCCTGTTGGTGAGCGGATGGCAAATGCAAGAAAGAGAAATGCCATATTGCTGATATGCTGTTGGCTTTTAGTGGAAACAAATGGGCTGCAGAATTGTTAGCCCTTCGTTTTCAGTCAGAGTTTTCATTGTTAATGGGTATCGTACTAGATTTTGTACCATTTCCTGATTTTGTTTTTATTGTCTTTTTAAACCTTGCAGGTTGGAAGGAAACAATATTTGAATGCATATTGTCGAACTGATTCAGACATCATGAACCGAAACAAACGCGACAACCAGTTCTACAGTGTAGAGGTTGGCGATTCCACCTTTACAGTCCTGAAACGGTATCAGAACCTGAAACCAATTGGCTCAGGAGCACAGGGGATTGTATGGTGAGTTTCCAGTTTTTACATTTTTATTCATTCAAGGGAACAGGGCATGCAGACAAAGCTGAAGAGTGTCACACTGCTATGCTGAAGTTTAATCAGGATCTTGAGTTGCAGCTGCTGCCGTCTTGAAGAAGATTAAATGTATTTCCCAACTTCCAATCAACTATCCATTCTGGATTTAATGTATCTGTAATTTATTTACATGTTTTTAAATTATTTTCCAGTGCTGAAGAGGTGAAATTTGTTTCTGTTAGTGAGTCGACAACAAGTTATATGGTCGATAATCCTGGTCCAACACACAAAGCATCTGATTCTTCTGTGTTTGTGTGGGTGAGTGGGGGGGTAGGTGGAGAGATTATTCATAACATTAAACAGAATATTTGCATTGCAAATGACATTCTGTTATACAATAGGGTACACCTTCTTGACAATTAGTGAAGTTTTAGATTATAAACGTTTCAACAATAGAAGCAAATAGAAGTCCTGGACTGCAAGGTAAAATATTTATTTGAGCTGTGGTTCCTCAGACACTCTTTCTCATCAACAACAACAAATTACATTTGTATAGTGCCTTTCACATCGGGAGGATATCCCAAAGTGCTGGTCAGGCAGGGATTTGGACACAAGCTGGGTGTTGGGATCAGGAGGAATGAAGAGCAGGGAGGGTGGGCGTAGGTTGGATGACCGAAGGTGCGGTTGAAGAGGAGAGTCTTGAGACGGACCTTGAAGGAGACAAGGGAGGGTGTGAGGTGAAGGGACTGTGAGATGGAGCTCCAAAGGATGGGGAAGTTAACAAAAAAAATTGTTAATTAACAAGTTATTTTCTTATTACAGTGCAGCCTACGATGCAGTCCTTGACCGGAATGTGGCCATCAAAAAGCTCAGTCGACCATTTCAAAACCAAACACATGCAAAGAGGGCCTACAGAGAACTGGTCCTTATGAAATGTGTCAACCATAAAAATGTAAGGAGCCTTCAGACATCTTTTAAAGACGTTCCTCTGCAAATTCAAAAAATTTGCTGTACGATTGAGAATCAATATTCTTGGATTGAATTATGCTGTTTTGGAACTCTTCTGGAAATTCTAATCGTTTTTGAGTTTACCTTGAATATTGTTTAAATATCGCTCAAATATGCTTGGAGGACTTACAGTTTCTAACTGATTAAAATGTTAATCTGATGTATCCAAGTGTTTACTTTTGTGGCATTTTCTATGTCGGCTTTGCTTGCCATTTGCCTTAATGAAATTAAATGTCTTTCGAACTGAAATATAGTAGGAGTGTTGGCAGCACAAAGGATATTGGAATAACAATGATCTTAAACTATTTTACAGATTGAAAATCAATCAAAACATTGTTGATTGTTACATTACTATTTGCCTCATTTTTCAGATTATTGGTTTGCTGAATGTCTTCACTCCACAAAAATCACTGGAGGAATTTCAAGATGTGTAAGTAAGGTCTAAATAAGGTAATTGGGTTAATAGCTTAGGACTGGGTGATAAAAGAGGCTTGGATGAAGAGTCCCTTTCGCCGATTTGACCTCTTTCTTCCAGAATACCTATCCTACCGTCTTCCCAACGCAGCATAAGGTAGTTTTATCTTGCCCAGGACAGTAGAGGACAACGACAACTTCCCTTTATATAATGCCCTATACGCGGAGTAGCATCCTGGAGCGCTTCAGGACATGGCCTGCAATTGAAGGGCGTAAATTCAAAACAGGAAGGCAAACTGGATGGATGTTGGTCTTCTTTCATCTAGCAATTCATATGTTCTTATACAGCTGTCCTTTCCTAGTCATCTGTTTCAGTTGTTCATCACGCTCTCTTCTGAAATTGCCCTTTGCAACCCAAATCTATCAACCTCTTGATCTGCCACCTCGGAGATTCCAAACGTATTGTTAGTGTTTTATGGTTTTAATGATTGACATTGCACAAGTGTATCTTTCGCTCATTGAATAATCTTACTCTTGTGTGCTGACAGTTACATAGTGATGGAGCTCATGGATGCCAATCTCTGCCAGGTAATTCAGATGGAGCTAGACCACGAACGGATGTCTTATCTACTCTATCAGATGCTGTGTGGCATCAAACACCTACATTCAGCTGGCATTATACATAGGGTGAGTAATTACTCTCAACCTTCCTGAGATTTTTTCTTGGCGTTTGTTGGTGAAATAAGATTTAAATCAGAAATGAGCCTTGTGGACCAATACTGGTAATTGCAGGTTTAAATAGTTTTGTTATTTTGTTCACTGGAAAATCTGGCAGAATATACTATTGGCACATTCATATAAACATGCATTACACCATTTTATGGTATAGTTGCCCTAGATTAGGTGTTCACCCAGCTCAGTTGGTAACACTTCCAACTTTTGAGTCAGAAGGTTGTGTGTTCAAGCCCCATGTCAGGACTTTGAGCTCATAGTCGAGCCTGACCTTCAATTATGACATAAACTGCATAATTTCTGTCGTAATTGTGCCATAGTGCAGAAGCTGAAATGAATGTAGACTGGTGTGTTAAGTCCCAACAACACAATAAACCAAATTTGTTTACAACTGTCACTGCAAAGCATTTTCATATGTCAGGATCATTCTTATCTCTAGCATTTAACGTGACCTTAGTGGGCAGGTTTTTCCTTCTGTGCATTTTTGGGATAAGTAACAGAAAAACCTGTCTAGCTGATTAGTGTAGCCAACTTAAGTATGCACTTTGCATCAATGTTGGATTAAACCTGGTTAAAATTCAAATTATCATTTTTTTAAAAAATGTTTCTTTTACCTTTAATTTGCTCAGCAAATTCATAAATAATCTTTTACCAGTTGCTCTTAAGATTCACATCTGTCAGTTAGAAAATTCAGAAAAGCAACAGAGAATATATTTGAAAAATATTGATCTAAGATAACTTTCTGTGTGTGAAGCAAGTGTTTCTGTACTGTTGAATGGTGACCCCAATAAATACCTATTGTTCATACAGATCCTTCCCACTGTGATGATAATGAGATGACTTTCCACTGTGTAAGTTATGATGGTGTTTAGGCAAAATTGAATGGAAAATATTAATTTGCTTTTGTGGATATTAAAAGAAAATTGTTAGTAATCTCATTTTAAAAAAATGTTTAAGTATAAACAGTGAAAATGTTTGTTACAATGAGTTGCAGGAAATAAAGTTTTGCCCACAATATATACAGTCAATTCACTTTACATATATTCTGTGAAGTGCTTTGAGATGTCTTGATGATGTGATAAGGTGCTACATCAAATACTATTATTATTATAACCAATGCTTACTTCAAAGAAAAGTAAATTCCCGATGAAGTCTGACTCTGCAAATAGATCTCTGCAGTTTAGCAGTAGAAGAGTTGCATTAAACACTAATAAAATTGAGTAAACATTTACACAGGGCCTCTTAAATGTTTCAGGCTCTAAATATATTGTACATTCCCCTGTGTGAAACTAAGCCATTCAAATGAGGAATGTGCCAGTTTTGATCCTGAGTTTGTTCTGAATTAATTGATCTCGGTAGGGGTTCTATCGTGGCCTTGGTGTCCAGGGACTTCAGAAGAAAAAAATCTGGAATAATGGAATCGAGCAGTAATACTTCTATTCGAGTAATATGAGTCTTTGCCTTGATTACTCAATTGTCTCATTCGTTTGCCTGTATCCCTTTGTTAAAATATCCCTGCAAATACACTGGCACTGCACTTCATTATATCCTGTGAAGCCCTTTGAGACTTCTTGAAGACTTGATTAGGCACTACATCAAATGAAAATATATTATACCGAATGCTCATTCTTCAGATAAGATGTTAAACCAAGGCCCATGGCATAATTCAAAAAGAGAAGGGAGTTTCTCCTGACCAAAAATCCCTCAAATAAAATTGTCCACTTCCCTCCATGGATGTTTGTGAGACATTGTTGTGTGCAAATTGGCTGCCTACAAAATACATACAGTCAACCCGTTTTACACTATATCCCATGAAGCGCTTCGAGACGTCTCGTCTTGAAGGCGTAATATCAAATACAAGGATTTTTATTATGTTATTATTGTGTTTTTCTCTTTATTTTAATCCCACCTTATTAAAAAGCAAATATGAGTTCCTTGTGGGTTTCCTATAGGCCCAATGGCCATAGGAATGCACTAAAATTATTTTCTCAGATGTAAATAAAGATGTGATTTTTGTTCCTGATCCTTTTAGGACCTGAAACCAAGTAACATAGTAGTGAAAGCAGACTGCACTCTGAAGATTCTAGATTTTGGACTAGCAAGAACAGCAGGAACTAGTTTTCTGATGACGCCTTATGTGGTTACAAGATACTATCGTGCTCCAGAAGTCATTCTAGGAATGGGATATAAAGAGAACGGTTAGTTTGCTCTGAAGTGTGTACCTGGTGTGAGAATATGTACCGGCCCTCGATGGTCAAGGTAACCTTGGTTTCTTGTGAATCCAATTAAATGGTTATGTTTGCATTCAATGGAGCTGTTCCTTTTGAATGGACATAATCGGCTGTTTCTTAATTTTTAAAAAAAATCAATTTCTTGGAGGTATTCTTTATTTTGATCCATTTTTACAAATTTTTTGTCCAATTGGAACACAAGTGGCTTTTGAGACAAAATGTCTGTTGCAGCTTTGATGTTTACAGCTGATGAAACTAATGGCCTTTTAGTTAATGAAGCTTTTGGCTGGGCTGGTCAAGATTAATATGACATATGTTCCATTTGTTAACATGAAAGAGCATTTCCTTATAGGTTGTGTTATTCATCCAATGAAATACTCTTGATAAGTATTCGTTCATCAGTATTCCTTGCACTGTGGGTCAACATTATGGATTTATTTCTGAAAACATCCATGTTTATAAGGCTCCTTTGTGGACTCGACTTCAGCCAAGCAAATAAGTAACTGGGTCCAAATCTGGTAAGGACCAGAAATTAGTCTTGATAGTCTTAATTTTGGATGTAAAGGATGGAATGTAAGAATTTATGGTACGGAACTGCTCACAAGTTGATCTTGAATGACGGTCTCTTGAGGGGATAATAAGGATGGGTTGTGGTGCAAAATGAAAAACTGGTACCAGTGGTGTTCTGAGGTTGAGTCTAAGGAGCATTTTTGGAGAATAGCGGGAGCTGAGAGTATTTGACAGTGCCACTGTCTGTTATAAGTGGAGAAGTATTGTGTTCCTCAGACTGTATGGCTGAACACATGTAATTAATTAGGAAAATGTATAGTGAATCTCACAGCCACTGAAGCAAAAAGCTTGTTGGGAGCCATTTAAAAATCTGCTTCAAAGCTATAAACTCTGCAGTCCCTTCGCATCAAAAGCTGCTGCCAATCCAGATGGTGGTATAATTTGGGAACAACACTTTGGCTAAACTGATTCTGTTCAAATAGTAGATTGAATAATGGAAAGCATCCCTTCAAAATGTAACGTGTTGGGTCTGGTAGGGAACGTTTGAGCGCACTGTGGTTGTAAGGTGAGCACACATTAGGAAAATTCCTCTCCCGGCTATATAGCCATATATATTATATATATATATATACACACACATACACACATATATATACTATAAATATATGTAAATATACACACACACACACAAGGCTACCTGAAGCAGTTTAAAGTTTTCACTGAACATTTTTGTTTTCACTGAACAGTTTTGCCCACAAAGCCCACAGTCAATCCACTTTACAGTATATTCTGCAAAGCGTTTTGAGATGTGTCAATGACATGATGAGGAGCGATGTCAAATGCAAAGATTATTATTATTGTCCTGCCAACAGACTGAGGTTAAAGCAGATCAGTATGGCTATTCTCCAAGTAGAGTGGAAAATGTTGGCCCTCAGAGCCCATGTTATGCTGTCACACCACTTTTGTGTAATTGTTTAGCTCTTGAAGGGGAAGTTGTATTTATTTACATCTGGTAGACGTGGTTGTCTTGATTCTTAGCAACCTCCAAACACAAAGCTCCAATCTAGAGTGTTATGCAGCTCTCCTGACCTGATGCTGCTTTGAGTTAATGATTTTATCTGTATGAACAAGATGACTGCAATGCCAGATGTCTTCAAGTAATAGTATTCCTTGATGTAGAATTACATTTGAAAAAGACTTAGGTAGTAGATTGACTGGTATTTTCAATATAATGAATTGAAATTCATTTCTGCAGTGCATTTCTGAAATTCTTGAGGCCATGGTAATTAGGCAGCTCCCAGTATAATAAGAGCAGTATGAATTCTGAATAGGGCAGAGCACTGTCTTGCAGGTGCATAATTTGTGGCAGACGCACAGTGGTTGCGAGGAAATTGGAGTTGCGTTTGTCTGAAGTGAGCAAGCTGGAGACGGTGGGAGCCCAGAGTTAGGTTTTGGTAGGTGGGAGAGAGAGCATGGCATCTTTTAGTTGTGCAGAAGTCTACTGTACTGATGGAAAGCGGCCATTAATCCCCACCGGAGACCAAATTGAGTAAGATCTCGCACGAGGGAGCACTTGTACTAGATAGACATGAGAGAGCAGCTCCATAATTTACCCCCAAATCGATAAGCCCAGATGCCAAACCAGGAACACCCAGGAGAGGGCAGCAGAGTCTGAGAACAGGTCCAGTATGTGGTTCCTGTAATTTTAAAGGAAAGGTTTAAGGTTTATATAAATTTCAAATACCAAATACAGTGTGAACTGTGCTAGTTATTTTTGTGAATTACAGTTAACATTAAAACGTACTTTGATTTTTGACAATGTGTCCAGCAGGTACACAATGCCGTTTTATTATCAATAAGTTTAAAATCTATTTTGCGCAATCAATAAGGTGATTTTCATTAAATGCAGAAGTATTTCCAAGACTTAGAAAGTGAAGGGAGTTCTGCTGCAGCACACTGATCAGGAAACGCAGCTTTTACAAAATGCTTGGGTAAAATATTTGTTGGTAGAGTAATAAGGAATTTTAAATGCTGGGCATAGATGTGTTCCTTTGCATTGATCCATTTGTTTGTGCTACTGTGCTGTCCCGTAAATGTGCGTTCCATCACATAATGTCATAACTGCGTTCGCTAGGGTTATAAATTGAACAAATGAAAACGAAAGCCATATCTTGTACTTTTATTGCAATATAAATGTAAGTGACGTGGATTCAGCTTTGCAAGAGTTGCAACGTTTTGTTTTGTAAACTGGCATTTCAGTAGATTTGTTTAAACAAATGAACTTTCCCTTCTTTTGTGCCACACACGTGTAGTGGATTTATGGTCTGTTGGGTGCATAATGGGAGAAATGGTTCGCCACAAAATCCTCTTTCCAGGAAGGGACTGTATCCTTATGCTGCTTGCAGCAGTTTTCTTAGGCAGCTTGGGCTTTGCTTTTGAAAACAAAGCCCTGAACAATTTATAACTACTTTTTTTTGGGGGGTGGGGGATTTTTAACTGAGTTTGAAATTACTCTGGTTTTCTTGATTTCAAATTGTTCAGGTAAGATTTGTGGCTTTTTTGGGAAAAAAAATGCAAATCTCTACATATGAGAGGCTGCATCCAGCGGTGGGACATACAGTCTCTGCTGGTTGATTTAACAGTGTTTCCAAATTTACTCACAACATGCATACTGACCATTTGTGTTGTGTCTGTGGTGACAGTATTTATGTTCTTGTGGACCTGCATTACTGCTATACCTGTGTCTGGCTGACGCATGCTACTAAAAGGCTGATGAAAATGTACCCGTTCTTGCAATCACAAACCCTTTTATGTTTTTGTAGGGCTACCAAGACTTGTGTTTCACGCAAATCATTGCAGGTTGCATTTTGTAACCAGCGCATTCTTAGCTATTAGCTATTTTGCCAATAAAATATACAGTCAATTCACTTTACAGTATATTCTGTGAAATGCTTTGATACGTCTTAACGATAAGGCACAATGCCAAATGCAATGATTATTATTCCTAGCTATTAATATGAAATAATCTCTTAACAAGTGCATTGGTTCAATGCGACCGGTCTAGGATAGGACTTTGACAACTTTGTAATGTTGGGGGCGCGTGGGGAGGGGGGGGAAATAATGTGAATTACTCATGCTGAAAAGGTGCCGTGCAGCAGCCAGCCACAAACAGCCTCTTCCACATTCTTAGAATGTATCCGTCATATCACAACTTGCCCTTGTCTGTCTGTTCTATCTTTTTCTTTTCAATCCAGTTTCTGCATGTTAATTTCATACCATTGCATTTTGTTTTCAGTTGATATCTGGTCAGTTGGGTGCATCATGGGAGAAATGATCAGAGGTGGTGTGTTGTTCCCTGGTACAGATCGTATCCTTCCCTTTGACCTTCAGCATAGTGTTCAAAGGTTTGGTTCAGTAGTCCAAATTCCCATGTGTTTGATAGTCATTGTACATGTTTTCCTTCCTGTGTTAGGACGTTGCATGGATGGAAATCGGAGTAGTTTAGAGAATGCTTAGAGCCGTGTTTGATCTTCGTTGCATGTGCCATTAATTCATCTTGCATTTTTATGTTTAATTATTTGTCAGAAATGCATTTCAAAATGCAGGATTAATGTTGGAACTCCCAACCGTGCTGCAGATTTAGCAGCAGGTCTGTACCACTGAGACCTCGCACAGAACTGCCGGTCTTGGCCATGTGGACGCGAGAAAAGGCTGGGAGCTTCCCCACAGAAGGGAGAGCCAATCTGAGCAGCTTTAATGTGCCTCAAGCATCTGGTAACAGGGGGACCTTGGTTGAGGCCTGGGAGCAGGTTGCTCAACTGGGGTATGGTATGGAGAAAATAGCATTTATATTAAAACAAAATGAGGTTTCACTGCTGGGTGTGTTGTGAGCCTGTTTTAATGAGCACATGGTCCACTTGGCACCAGCAATTAAGTGCACAAAGCTTTTGTCTATATGGGCTCCTCAAGCAGCAATTAATACGTAAACCAGAAATCTGATTGACAATTTGTGCTAAATGGGAATGACGGAAGGGGAGGAAAAAAACAAATCTCAAACGCTATCATCTTAGTTGAAAACGGACATTGTCATATATTGTGTTTTACATTGTTTGCTGATGGTTTTGGTTTTAAAAAGACATCTCATTGCAGTAATTCAAAACTTTTATGGTGAATATTAATGCTTTATGATATTAACAAGGCTGGTCTCCCTATGTGTAATTGAATTGTGCTGAATTCTGATGTTAAATTTATCCTCTTTTGTTACTGCTCACTGTTTGTCACTGCACCAAGTCAATCCTCTTTTTTTGTACAAACCTCATTCACCTCGCCACTGCTGAGAGAGAAGCTTTACTCACACGCTTGGCTTAATTTAGTGCAGTTGTAAATTTAAGGTTAGAATCCGATCCAATCCATGTTTGAAGCCACAGTGTTCCTTTTGTCAAGTGAAGCATCTGGTAGAATCATAGAATCTTACACCCCAGAAGGAGGCCATTCGGCCTATCGTGCCTGTGCTGGCTCTTTGAAAAAGCTATCCAATTATCCAATCCGCGCCCTCACCCTTTCCCCATAGCCTTGCAAATCTTTCCTTTTCAAGTATATATCCAACTCCCTTTTGAAAGCTATTATCGAATATGCTTCCACCACCCTTTCAGGCAGTGCATTCCAGATTGGAACAACTCGCTAAAATAAATTCTCCTCATCTCCCCTCTGGTTCTTTTGCCAATTATCTTTAATCTGTTTCCTCTGGTTACCGACCCACCTGCCAGTGGAAACAGTTTCTCTTACCTACTGTATCAAAACCCCTCATTATTTTGAACACCTCTATTAAATCTCCCCTTACCGTTCTCTGCTCTAAGGAGAACAATCCCAGCTTCTCTAGTCTCTCCACATAACTGAAGACCCCATTCCCTGAATTTGGAAACCAGTGTATTTCTGATCTGCACGTCCTGCCTCGATCATATATTTCCAAGACGTGAACAGCACACTTAAAGTTGATTGAATCACCGTAAAAATGTTTAACAGTCTTTTAAAAAGACATTGAAGCATTGACACTTCTGTTTGAAAGGAAGTGGATTTTCAGGTTTCAGCTGCAGCCTTAGAAGGCAAAGAAAAAGGGACACTGTTGTTTTACTTTTGCGTAAGTTAATATTTTAGTAAATTTAGTACTTCTATTTTCAGTTTGTAATTCGTCAAAATTCTGAATAAGATATCATCCAAATAACTTCTGAATCATAATGCTAAAGTTGAGTTACCTGTGTACTAAATCAACACAGCTGTTGTACCATGTACCTGGTCTGCAGTATTTTTCTCAGCTGCCCGACTCTAGATATTGATCAATGGAACAAAGTGATCGAACAATTAGGAACACCGGCTTCTGAGTTCATGAAGAAGCTACAGCCTACAGTTAGGACATATGTCGAAAACAGACCCAAGTATGCAGGCTACAGTTTCGAGAAACTCTTTCCAGATGTCCTCTTTCCTGCTGACTCTGAACACAACAAACTGAAAGGTAATAAAACTACCCGCTTCTGAATTACCCTTGAGATGGGAGAAGGGTAGTTTCATATCTGATTCTGATGGTAATTAATACATTGAATCTGTAAAGGAATGTTACATTTGTCACATTGAAGTTTCTGCTTTATTTTGTCTGTTTGTAAGGCTGCTTTATGCCTCCACTTACCAAATGTTCAGGGCCGACGTTCTTATGACTATGATCAATGACAATCCTTCATTGGCATGTGAGAGCTCTCTCCGAACTAGGGTAAGCCTTCCCAGAGACACAATGCTATTTATGTAGTTGATCTTGTACTCTGGCTAAGAAGAACCAATACTTGCAGGGCAGGTAGTAAATTTCAGCAGTAGTAAAACTTTGACAGGGATTCTCACATTCTCCGTTATGGAACCAACAAGTTGCCCTTAATTCCAAATATAGTGTTATTTCACTGATAAGTCCCAAGTGTTAGACAACTATATTAGTGCCATTTTGTGACATTTTTAACTTGGTCTCTACCCATTGCTGCCCACGTTGAGGATTATGAGCATTTCATTTATTTTGGTGCTGTGCGAACTGGTTGTCCTACAAAATGTCCGCTCTCTACAACAAAGCCCTCACCGTCAACAACCTCATTGTTGATGGAAACATTGACATCCTCGCCCTCACAGAAATCTGGATCACCCTGGGTGACACCTAACCCCTGATTGAGGCCACACCACCCGGCTATACCTTCCACCATTCCCCACGACTTTTCTCGAGACCAAAATCGAGGGGTTTCACTCAGCAGCCTCTGCTACCCCCTCCCGATCTCCTCCTCACACGATGGCTTCTACTCATCTTCAAACTTGTCTCCCCCTCCTGTCTCACCACCATTATGGCATTTGAAATCCACCACCTGCTCCATCGACCCTATCCCTACGCCTCTCCTTACCTCCCAGCTCCACCTTCTTGCCCCTCTACTCACAGACATCATCAACCTCTTCTTGTTCACAGGCACCGTTCCCACCCCCTTAATAACTGGTCATCACCCCCAGCCTCGAAAAAACATCTTTGGACCCAACTCTGCTCTCCGAGTATCGCCTCATCTCCAACCTCCTTTTCCAAGGTCCTGGAGCGAGTCGTTGCATCCCAGCCTCGCTCGACATTTGGTCACTCAATCGACTGTTGTGTGCAATTGACTGCCGTGTTTCGCCCACAAAATATACAGTCATCCACTTTACAATATATTCTGTGAAGCACTTTGAGATATCTCAATGACGTGATAAGACGCTATACCAATTGCAAGGATTATTATTATCTGTGTCAGGTTCACCTGAATGATGTTCTGTGTTACAGCAAGCCAAGCCAGAGATTTGTTATGTAAAATGCTTGTAATCGACGCAGCTAAGAGGATTTCTGTGGACGATGCTCTGCAGCACCCCTACATTAACGTTTGGTATGATCCTGCTGAGGTAGAGGCTGTAAGTGTTTGTTCTTTTCATGTGATGCTCATAACCTACTCACATAGAATCGTAGAATTATACAGCACAGAAGGAGGCCATTTGGCCCATCGTACCTTTGCTGGTTCTTTGAAAAGAGCTATCCAAATCAATCCCGTTCCCCGTGCTCTCCCCATAGCAAATGTGTCCTCCCCAAATAATTATCTACCTCCCCAAATAAATAATCTAATGATAAATAATTATCTAATGTTAATTATAGACATCTGCATTGATAGAACCGGAGTAGCTTTGAGCTGAAGGCTTCCCTTTTGAAACATTTTCAAGTGATGGATTGTAAAAAAAAAGGATAGAAAACTGTAAAGGTCACGACATTTGAAATGTATCTTGAAATGTGAAAAAAATTCTATCCTTTGCGGGTACGTAATCTTAGACCATGTTGGTACGTTCATTTAATGAGATGTTAAACCATCGTCCCCACCCATTTGAGATTACTGTAGTCAGACTGTCTGAGCAGAAGCTGGCTCAGAAATGGTTTCAGTCAACAAGGGGAGGACTGCCTCCTTGTCAGCTGCTTCTCTTGGCTACTGATGCTTTTCCAATCGCTGTTACAACCTAAACCAGACATTAGACTGTGCAGCTTGTTGAAAACCTATGAATTACAACTAGAGTACAGTAAAACTCACGTAAAGCTGATCTGTATAATCGCCTAAGTCGTACGTCTGTCCAAGTCCCGTTCAATTTCCTATTAAATCCACCTAAATTTATATGTACTAGTCGTATTAACAACCAGAAATGAACAGGCTCCTACAAAGTGTCAGGTACATTGTAGGAAATTATCTTTGTGCAGTTTTGGAAATTCTATGTTGAGTAAGGAATTGTCTCACAAAAGTGACATCTATTATTCCAGCCTCCACCAAAGATTTGCGACAAACAATTAGATGAAAGGGATCACACCATAGAAGAATGGAAAGGTAATGACTCCCTCAATACCATTACCTTAGCTTCTGTTTATAATGTGTTTAGTGACGATCCCTGAACACAAAATACACGCAATGCTGCAAACCAGTCATGCTTAAGAAAAAAAGGATATGATTTTAAAACGTGTAAATTCTAACGAGTTCCTACTGAGTCTAGTTTCATGAATTTAACTGAAGCATGCGTTTCCACAAAAGACAAAAGAGAGGGGAATTGTAGAAACGGTACCGGAGAGAATGAGACGTAATTGTCAACTTTGACAGTGGGCTCCTGAATTTCTTCTCCTATTTTCCTTTCCTGAAGGCACATTCTGGAGCACAGGTCCACAGGCTGCGGCAGCCCCTCCACTGCCTTGCTCAAGTGACCGTTCTTCACCTGCAAGCCTCGACAGGAGTCTGAATTCTTACCTTTCACTCTCCCATCTGTTGTTTTCCTCTCTCCCACCCCCAGGGTGTTCAGGACAATTGTTGCTCAACAGCTGGTTCCATCTAACATTAGCTGTTGACCAGATCAGGTGTTGAGCCTGCAACCTTTTCATCTGTCTGGCTCAGTGTCACACCAAGCAATTCCTTCATTTGGCCACTGGGGGAAAGTACCACCAAACAAATTCTTAATTCTCCAACTGTACAATTAAGATGTAAATTAATATGTCCTGTTGCTTTGCAGAGTTGATATATAAAGAAGTCTCAGAGTGGGAAGAAAGAATGAAGAATGGAGTTATACGAGGGCAACCACCCTCTTTAGGTTAGTTATTGCAAGAATATTGTGGTACAAAATCACTTGTACCATTTGTCTTACTTCAAATGACAAATATCTCACATATTTCTTGGGTGTGCCAGGGGATACACAGAGTTATCCTCTTGAGTACTGATGTAGCGGTTAGAACAGGTATTTTCATTGAGGGTACAGACCAGTTAAACAAATATCCTTTATTTGTATTCAGACAGAACGAACTGTTGAACTAAATTAAGAGGCTCCACAGAAATGTTGTACACGTGAGTTAACAATGTCAGATTTCAGTAAAAATTGGATTCTATCAGTATAAGCAAGATCTGAAGGAGGTGGTCCATATCTATATATAATTATGTGTATATATATATAATGTATAAACAATTGCAAATGGCTGCCTCATTTCTCCCACAATCAATTCACTTTACAGTATATTCTGTGAAGCACTTTGGTAAGGTGCTATATCAAATACAAGGGTTATTATTATCTTCAATTCTGGATGTTGCAGTCTCAACACAAACAGGGCAATCTAGTGTTGTGGTCAATGACATATTTGCGTTGGTAGCCAGAATAGCTGACTCAGCCAGAGCTTGCACCATGTTGGCATAGGATCGTTGGGATCTCTGCACCTACATTAGGGATGGCAGAACAAGCATGGCTGTTCTTGTTAAAGGGATAAGAATGAGGACAGAACCACTGGTATAAACTGTGCAGGGAGCAACATTACCATCTGCTGGAAGACAAATTACACTGCATCAAACTAGGAATCCTTTTTTCAGCAGCTGAAATAAAATGGTGGAAGGCACTTTAGTAAGAGAGAAAGTTTTGCTTGTATCTGGCATGTAGGGAAAGTGGTAAGCCTGAAATGAGTGGCTGGTCAGTGTAAGAAACAATTAAATTTTATAGACAAGGGAAGCATCTTCCATTTGGTTGCACTGTATAGCTCTGTGAATAGCTGATCCAACTGTAGTTTCTCATGTACGATTCAACTACGTGACATTGTGCTTGCCTCAAATGCTATTGTGACATTATTTGGTGGTGTCCGTGCCAACCGTAAGATCTATACTATATGCAGAACGCTACAATTCACTTTATGGTTAGCCAGGGTGTGGATGCTGGATAATATAGAATTGTGGTTGGTTGTGGCTTTTCTCTTTCCAGTCGAATAGCCTGCTGACACAAGCATTGAAGAATTGCTAAATTGCTATGCTGTAGGTTGACTTGAGACTCACGGTTCTATATTTCCCGACATGAGTCAGTCATTAAGGGAGGAAGAAGGGAATCGTTTTTTAAGAAGTTTGGCCAACAAACTGTATAATCCTATGATTTCATTTTAAATGTTTGAAGTGATGAAATAAAGTGCCCTGGTTGAAAGGGAGAAGTCGTGTGCTTTGCATGCTTGTTCTAAATTTGCAGTGCACCAAAATGATTCATTCCCAGTCGGACTTATTTCCCAATTAAACAAAATGTAAAACAATGGCTCTGTCCGCTCGTCAGCTGCACCGAAAGAACCACTGCAAAGTAAACACGGATGAGTGTCCAAGAACCACAAGAAACGAGGTGGGATGCTGGATTCTTTCTTCAAAGGTTGGGTTTAATCTGAAAAGTATCATGAGTCAGTACGAAATGAGTGACACAATTTCCTTGTAGAAAATGATACAACAGAGACCAGTGGAAACTATTCGCGAAACTCGTTGTGTACGTGCAGGGACAAACCCGCTATTGTGCCTTGTTGTAATGCAGGTTGGGATTTTATACCATGTGGGGCGTTCTAACGAGGTTGCACAGTTATAGATACATAAGCTAAAGGATGTTAACAGAACAGAAATTTTCTTTCCCCCACCCTCTGCCCACCGTACGTTTACTCAACAACAAGATTCCATTTACTCAGGCACAACTATTCATATCTCTTCTTGATACAAATGTCACCAAACAGGAACCTCTGTCCAATCTGAGGGTCAGATAAGGAAATGTGGAATTCCTATGTAGCAATGCATGGTTTCACTCTCCTTTCCCTGGCTCTTTTTGTGCTTTTTTCCTCATAAAATAATTATGTTCCAGTTGTAACTGAAAAACTCATTCACTGAGCAAATTCTAATTCAACAATGAATAAAATTTTAGTTTTGGCCTCTAGAAGTTATTGTCCAAAAATACCTAGGTTATTAAATTATGCTCGTATGGTTTTGAAAGCACATCTTTATGGTAATCCCTGCTGTAGGTTTGATATTATTACTGATCTCCTGACACCCATTTGAAAAGACGAGGGAGTTCCTCTCAGTGTCCTTACCAAAAGTATCCTGATTTAAAAGATTGGTCATTCACTTCATGGCAGTTTGTGAGACATCGCTGTGTCCAAATTGACTGTCAGGTTCACTACACCTGCAACTGCACGGTCATTACACTTAGCAGAAAAATCTGTGAAGCGCTTTGAGGTGTTTTGACTTGGGTGTAATGTTACTGGAAAATGACCCCTGTGCCACATTACTGACTTGTTTCTTTATTTCTCATAGCACAGGTGCAGCAATGATCAATGGCTCACATCATCCATCATCATCATCATCCGTCAATGATGTGTCCTCCATGTCGACAGATCCAACCTTGGCCTCAGATACCGACAGCAGTCTAGAGACATCGGCGGGACCTCTGGGCTGCTGCAGATGACTAGCCTCCCTCTCGTTGGGTCTTACTGTTTGTACTCGGTGGTAGAGAGAATAGACCAGCTTTTAAAAAGCTCCAGCTGCTTTTTAATTTTATTGGAAACAGTTTACCTTCTTAGAATATGACTGAATTGTGTCTGATTTACATGCAGTAACTGAAATACAATACAGCAACTTTTAGTGCAGGACAAGTAACCCTAAAGCATGACTTGTACATTTGTAAAGAGCTGACATTAACGCACGTCTGTTTTGGGGTTTAAAACAAACACACAAATAAGCTTTAGACTCGCAATGTACAGAGGGACAGCATAGTTAGACTGCTTTTCATTTTTCTCACTTGCATGAAGTGGTTTATACTTGTTAAATATTCTGGCATCTTTTCTACTCTGGTTGGCTGTACCGTCTAATTGTTGTAGAGTAAGAAGATAGCTATCTGGTTTCAAAGCCACAAAATGCCAGTGTCCGTCATAGATTTTAACATGTGGCCTACCTATTCACATCACACATGGAGAAGCCAAACCTGAGTGCATTTTACATAGTAATGCAGGGTAGAGAAAGCAGTTTGGGTAAGGCTGTTGGGTGCAACGTTTAAGAGTATTCAAATAGGTTAATTTAATTTTATCTCAGACTTGAATGTGCGTAGCTAATAGTAGAACTGGGAATTAAAACCTTGATGTTGGAAAGATTGGGCACCGCAGATGAACACTGCTCATTTATTTATCTGAGCAAATGCTTGTTCTAATTAGACTACATTGCCCCCTTAATAAGCTGTTCTTTCTCATTGAAAGCAATTTAGTTAATTCCTTTCTGTTGTGCGTACTGAGTGTTCACAGAATAGATAGTGTCATGCAATAATGATGGTGGTTTAATTTGTAGCTGGCTTCTTCGATTAGTACTTGAGTAAATGTCAACTCATAGCCTAGGATTGAAGTAGAAAGGTTCTTTCCACTTCAGACAAAATTGTCGCACTACACAAGTGACGGAACTATCACAAGAGGTTTTTAATAATTGATGAACTACCTCACGCAATCAATGTACCGTTTCAAGGATGTTAAGCTCCCCCTTTTACAGTTCGGTAGAATATGGAATGTAATTGTGTTTAATTTATTTCTGTTGGTGAACTCTCCCTGGCCAGCTTCCAGGAGTTAACCAAATTCACAGCTGAAACTGTTGTGTAGAAGAAAATATTGTTATACATGTACTTTATATGTTAGATGTTTAATGCATTTTGTACATTTGTTTTCTCATAGTCGACGTGCAATAATCTTTGCAAATTGTGATAAAGAATTTGACTGTGAAAGGTGGCGATAGGTGTGTTGCAGTATGCTTATTTGGGAGGGCAATGTGCGGGTTTGAAGGGACTGTTGTATTTTTTTTGTTTCCACTCTTTCCTTGTAAAAATGAGCATAGTATGAAATATAACATTGTGATTTTTGCTAGGGTAAGGATTTTGCTGAGGATATGATGCCTGCATCTGTTCCTTGGGTTCATTATTCTTCAGTCGTACATGTCCTTTACTGTTTTTTAAGGCATTTTTAATATCCAGTTATGGATAACAGGAATGTATGCAACAAATTGGAAATTGCTGAATGAACTGTGATTATGATTAGTGCTAATAGTGAATCATGTTCGGTGTGAGAATCGTTAACGTTTCTACCAAAACTTGACAATAGCAATCTTTAGCTGGTGTAGCTCAATTGGAATGAAATCTATTGATACCTTTTAAGGTGTAATTAGTTCCACATGTGCAACATTGAACTGACTATGCACTGAGATAATAAGGTTGTGTGTTTTTTTTTAGCAGGGTGAGCCAAATCGGATTGCAGGTTGCCCCAAAGTTAGATAATAATTTGATTTTCTGATTTGAGATTTACAAACCGAACAGCTAAAATTTAGCCTGGCTCAGTTGGTAGCACTCTTTGTGAGTAAGAAGGCTGTGGGTTCATGCCCACACCGGGACTTTTGAATTCATAATCTCAGCTGGCACTCTAGTGCAATGCTGGGGAGAGTGCTTCATTGAGAGAGGAACCATTGTAAGGATGAGATATGAAACCATTTGCCTTTTCAGGTAGATATTAAAGATTCTGTGGCAGTATTTGAAAAGAGAAGAGAGTTTCTCCCAGTATCCTGGCATTTGTGATTTTTTTAAAAAAAAGTAATTTCGTTCCAGATTGTGGGAATTGCTGTGTGCAAATTGGTTGCCACGTTTGGTTAGAAAAGCACAGAAAAACTCTGTGAGTCGCTTTGAGAGGTGATAAGGCACTGTACCAAATGCAAGGATTGTTATAAATTCGACACCTTTTCTTTTTAAGCATTTTCTTAAGTGGCCCTCAATCCAATCAGAATTGCTTCCTTTTGTATGAGAAATAAATTGTCCCCGTATCTCAATGATTTTGGTTAAGAGCACAAGTCTTTACTATCAGAGTGGTTACAGCAGGGTTACGTGTTGAGAGTTAAGTGATGCGTTGGATATTATGCTTGGTGTAAAATCTCTTAGTTTCTGAAATTTGCTCAACGTATAATCAACTAGACATTGCAGCATATTGTAAAACGTCATTTCAGTCTTCAAGGTTTAGCACTTCAAGTGAGTTTAACATGAACTTTTTTTTAAAAAAAACAAACAAAATTGTATTAAAGCTGATCGTCAGATTTGGTTACCTTATCCTTAACGCGCCCTAAATCTGTTCAGTGTTGAGTATGTATTCTCATCCGGTGAAAATGGTTGAGAAACAAGCTGTTTCGCATTTCAAATTGTTCCTGAGGTGCTTACTCTCCCTCCAAAGTCATATTCACTATTTTCACTAAAGATGTGCATTTGTTTTCTGACGAGATCTTACCATTTAGATGTGCTGTATAAACACAATCCGCTGTTTGTGCCAAATGGGGGGAAAATAAACTGTTTCAATTAACACCAGAGGCTTTAAGGCAACTTTTAAGTGGAATTGCTTTCAGGGTATGCCACTCACTTACAAATTAGTCTGACTGAGCTAATTCCTTAACAAAGCCATTATTTTCTATCTACAGTAACTCATAATCTGTTTATGGCACATTACTCTGAAGATGCATTTTGTTGAATTTGTATTTCATGCTTTGTTGATGCTCATTAAGCTTCCAATTGACTAAATAAATGTCGGAAGTGTAACGAGATTTCAAATATCTGAAACGTGTTTCCAGCGATATTTATATGGGTGAACCAGGGAGGGAGGGAAACTGGGAGAAAATATTGCATTGAACTGATTGGGTTTGGTCCGGAGGGCTTATTCTTTCACCAGAAATAATAAATAAAGCCTGTGAATGCTAGGAACCTGCAATAAAAACAGTAGGTTAATCAGGATCTTTAAAGAGGAAAGCAATAGTTTAACTTTTGGGATTAACCTTCATCAGAATGGTTTATTCTGCTCCAGTAATTGTCCCCGCCATTTGTTTGCCCCCTTTATTTAGCTAGCACGAGCTTGCTGCGTGTTTCCTGACCTCTCCACCCACCATCAGTGGTCGTGTCTTCAGTCACTATGCCTGGAAATCTCTGCCTCATCCTCTTATCTTTAAATCCTATTTTAAGACATCCCTCTTCCACTGCACTATGGTCACCTCCTCCTTCCCCTTTGCACAGAGTCCAATCCTGCCACTGTGCAGTACTTTGAGATGCTATCCTGAGTGAGGGGTGCTAGAGAATGCTATTTATTATTGTTGTCTCTGCTTCCGATCACACGATTTTGACCTTATTTGGATACAGTGGACTTTCATAAGTGATTAAGTAACTAGGATTAATTTTAAATGAATGAGGCGCATTTTGGCAAACTTCAGTGTCCGTTTCAAACAAATGTCTTGTTTGAATGAATACTTGGAGTGTAGGTACGTGCTGCCCATTGCTTTCTTCCATAAGGAAATACTGCAGCTGTGATTTTAAAATTGTCAGTAATCCTTAATGGGGTTCAATTCCCAGGCAGGTCGAAGCCTTTGACAACTTTCTTTACTCCCATATGCCTCTGTTCAGCTAGCAGTAAGTAGGAACCTGGTTGTTAATCAATTGGCGGATTGCTTTCCGTGGGTAATAATTCCTTCAAAAAATAATAATAATAATTTGGTCACTCAATCTACTTCTGTTTGTGGAACACTACTGTGCATGATTGGCTGCCGCGTTTCGCCCTCAAAGATATAGTCAATACGCTTTACAGTATATTCTGTGAAGTGCTTTGAGATATGTCAAAGACATGATAAGGCGCTATATCAAATGCAAGGATTATTATTGATGGATAGCTAAAGGAGATTTAATGGAATGGAAAAATCGGTATTGAAGCTATTCAAGATTTTTGCAGTACAAATTCATTTCAGTAAGGCGTGGGCTGGACTTTTATCTTTGTGCTCATCGCAGAGCCATGATAGCTCATTGCAAGGAATTATATAATCTGATGTGACCTCATAAATCCATTTGTTGACCTCCAAAAATGATCTTTATCAAAAAAGACTTGCCTCTGGTAGGCTTCCTTATGTATTATTTCAACACAAGAAACTATTTTACAGTAAATGTGGGGAGTCGCTACTTTAAGCCGATTTATTGCACGGACATAATCATTCAATGCCCACAGCAATATTTTACACTTGTGAAATAACTCTGTAGTCATGCCTTCCTTTCCACCATTGCTGTCATCCACAACACCCCAAAACTCTGGAACAAACTCCCTCAATCCCTCCACCTTGCCCCCTCCTACACATGGACATCTCTGATTTTTGATCTATATGAATGACCTGTAATTGGGTATACGGGGTACAATTTTCAAGTTTGCAGATGATACTAAGCTAGGAAAAGTGAGGAAGATAGTAGCAGAGTGCAAGAGGACATAGACAGACTGGTAAAATGGGCAGACACGTGGCAAATTAAGTTTAATGTGGATAAATGTGAAGTGATGGATTTTGGGAGGAAGAATGAGGAGAGGCAATATAAGCTGATGGCAGAACTTAAAGGGGGTGAAGGAACAGAGAACTGGGGGTTCATATAAGTAAATCTTTGAAAGTGGCAGGACAGGTAGATAAAGCTGTTAAAAAAGCATATGGGATATAAGGCTTTTTAAATAGGGGCATAGAATACAAAAGTCAGGAAGTTACAATGAACCTTTATAAAACACTGGTTAGGCCTCAGCTAGAGTACTGGGTTCAGTTCTGGGCACCGCACTTTAGGTAGAATGTCAAGCATTGGAGGGGGTGCAAAGGCGATTTACCAGGATGGTACCAGGAATGAGGGACTTCAGTTATCAGGAGAGGTGAGAGAAGCTTGGATTATGAGTCTTGGTGTAGAGAAGGTTAAGAGGAGACTTAATAGAAGTTTTCAAAATTATGAGGGGATTCCATAGGGTGAACAAGGAGAAACTATTTCCACTGGTGGGTGGGTCGGTAACCCAAGGACACCGATTTAAAATAGTTGTTAAAAGAAACAGAGGGGAGGTGAGGAGAAATTTTTTCACACAGCGATTTGTTCGGATCTGGAATGCATTGCCTGAATGGGTGGTGGAAGCCGATTCGATAACAACTTTTAAGAGAGAAGTGGATAATTATTTGGGGAGGGCAAGTTTGCAGGGCTATGGGGAGAGCGGGGGGAGTGGGATTGAAATGGATAGCTCTTTTCAAATAGCTGGCACAAACACGATGGGGAGAGAGCGGGGGGAGTGGGATTGAAATGGATAGCTCTTTTCAAATAGCTGGCACAGACACGATGGGGAGAGAGCGGGGGGAGTGGGATTGAAATGGATAGCTCTTTTCAAATAGCTGGCACAGACACGATGGGCCGAATGGCCTCCTTCTGTGCTGTATAATTCTATGATTTCCTATATCTTGATTGGAATGTGTACTCTCACCACTGCTTAGATGACTGGCCCAAGCTGCTTCAGTTTGACTACTTGAGACATATTTGGGTGAATGGTTTATGGCTGAAGAATAATGGTGGTAGTGACATTGCCCAAATTTGTTGTGAAATAATTTTAAATGTTTAAATCTACCATGCATGAGATGGTGCTTACAAAGTAATTATTGTGCTATTGCTTCACTCTGCCTAGGAATGTTTCCTGCACCACTAGAAGGCAGTCTTCAGCTGCTTTGGCAGATTCAAAAGAAGAATGTCCCCAAGGTTGCAGTTTTAAACAGGCTTTGAGAACACAACAAAGTGAGTAACAGGCACGTCGCAAATCAGGCCCCAATCATAAGCCAGAGCCCAAGGATTTTGTAACAATATCAGCCATATTTTATTGTTTTTTGAAGTGGGAATTTTCGCAGGCTCTTGGTAATTTTTTTTAAGGTGATGAGCAGGGCAGTGCAACATTACAAGATATCTATTTGCTAGGATTATTTAGTAATGCAAGTGTGGTAATATAGTGGTGTGAACTGATATTCAATGGTGCAGCTACATGGCTTCCAAGAGACCAGCTGCTGTAATACACTGCCTATCTTAGAATTCAGCTTTGGCAGAAGTAATAATGGGCAAGCTACCAAATACTTCAATTCACTGGAATCCAAATCATTCTGCCTGTGATCAAAAAAGCGATCTGTTCCCATTTCTTTTTCTATCCATTAAACCGATTTGGATTCTGATAATGAATATAAGAATAATCCTTGTATTTGATATAGCACCTCATCACATCTTCAAGACCTCTGAAAGTGTTTTACATAATGATAATAATCCTTGCATTTGATATAGCGCCTTTTCACGTCTTCGAGACGTCTCAGTGCTTCACAGAATATACTGTGAAGTAAATTGACTATGTTTTGTGGGTGAAACGCTGCAGCCAATTGCACATAGCAATGTCCCACAAACAGTCGTGGATTGAAGTGACCAATTTATTTATTCTTTTGAAGGAATTATTATCCCTGGAAAAGCGATCCACCAATCAACTAACAACCAGGTTCTTACTTACTGCTAGGCAAACAGGTGTGTGGAGTAAGGAAACTTGCCCAACATTTCACACTGCCGGGAATCGAACAAAGGTCTCTTGCTTGCGAGGCAAGTGCTCTCACCACTGAGCTCCAGGACTCCTTAGAATATACTGTAAAGTGAATTGACTGTATTTTGTGGGCAAAATGCACTATTTTGTTAAAACTGCTGCCCTTCAATGCCTGCCTTTGAATGTTTATCAATGTGCAGCCATGTTGCAATTTAATCCGAGTTGGGTGATTAATAATGTTGTACCAGCCGCAAGTCGCACCCAATTTCACGCAGACCCCTCACAGACAGTGCAGGATTAACTGGGGATATGTCTTACAAATACCCAGTTGCTGGCCTTGCCCCATTGCTCAACATCATGTTCTGGTTATAAAGTTGGTTCATGCTGTAACGTGGGTGTTCACACATTTGGAACAGGCCATTTTCCATTGTTTTACGTTAAAGGGAAATTGCTAAATACGCAGAGTGAAGGGAACTAACTCGCAGAAAAAGGTTAACTAAGCTGTGCGTGGTTTGATGATTTCTCTTTTGAGACGCCTGAGTTAAGGGTCCCTGCCTTCGATCTGCTGTGTTTTGAATCACTTTACAGCCCATCTATCATGCTTTAGGACCTGCACTGTGGAATTCAAGAATATTTAGCTTGGTGACTCGAAGATCTCCTTACATTAAGTTAATGTCTAATCGCACTGCTGGGAGAGGTTGGGGGAACTGCTTAAGATGGCTTCCAGCCATAGAACTAGCTTTTTTTAAAAAAACAAAAGGCTCAAGTGATATAACAGGTGAGTAATCAAGCCTTATTTGCTTTCAATAATCACGATTGAAAGTAAGCTGTACGATTTTTTTCTTTGCAACCCCCACCCCCCCACCCCCCCCAGCATGAACAGAGTGTTCACAGCGGAACAATGCACAACCCAGTGCATTACATGAAGATGATTCTGTTAATGACTAATTACTTTGCACTCCTGAGTATAAAAAAAAAGTTCCCACATTTGTGAGATGAACAGGTTGCTCCAATGTATCACACACCTTCATTATAATGAAACATCCTTATCGATCCTGTGGTACAACAACAATTTTATACAGCGCCCTTCACGAGGGGTAGTGTCTTGGAGCCCGGCAAGGGACAGTACTGCACAACCATTAGATTCAGGTCCAGATTTCTGTAATCCTCCAGGTAAAGCAAACAGTGTGCCTCTAATTTCTGGCATAAAAACATAAAAGCACCGACTGCTCTTGGGGTGAGGAGGAAAAGCAGAGATGCTGATCAGTCAAGACCTGTGGTCTTTGGGGGGAACGGGGGGGAGTGGGGTCTGACTAACCTACGTCAGCTAGCTCTGCCACAAACCTGGACTAAACCCCAGAATCAGCCAGGGCATTTGGTTAATGATATTGTCTTTCAAACTCACCCACTGAAACACATTTTTGCCGTTCATTTGTACCCATTTCACTGACTGGGGAAAAAAACTTTTAACCAAACAGAAAAATGGGTGATGTAACAGTGTCACCCACCCTACTCCTTCCTCGCCAGCAATGATGCGGTATTTCAATCCACACTGAAAGAATTCACCAAACGTCATGTTTTTGCTTTCACACAAATTTAATGGAATTGAATTCCTGGCTGTGCAACGTGTTTTGCTGTGCTGTCAATCATAGTGACATTCCTGCAGCTCTAATGGGTCTGCGCCTGTACACGTGTCTGTGCGCGCGTGATTGTGCGTGTGTGTGCCCGTGATTGTGCGTGTGTGTGTCTGCGCGTGATTGTGCGTGTGTGCCCGTGATTGTGCGTGTGTGCCCGTGATTGTGCGTGTGTGCCTGTGCATGCGTGCCTGTGATTGCGCGTGCGTGACCATGATTGTGCTCGTGCATGCGTGCCCGTGATTGTGCTGGTGCATGCCCGTGGTTATGCAAGCGCGCGTGTGTGTGTGTGCCCATGGTTGTGTGAGCGTGTCTGTGTGCCCATGGTTGTGCGCGCGTGTGTGTCCGTGATGGTGTGTGCGCGTGTGTGTACCTGTCTGTATGTGTGTAGCGGAGTGGGACAAACTCAACAGGAAAGTGCTCAATGTAAACAATTGAGGTGGGGGGAGGGGGGGTTTGACTGGGGGGGAAGGAGGGATGTTTAAAGGGGGATTTCAGTTGAAGACAATGTGCCTTACAGAAATAGTGCAGTGTTGCATCTTACAGTCCAAGAATCTGTTCACAGAAGCACTCTTGCTGGTCATCCTGGATTGAAGAGAACGGTGTATGTTTCAAATTATTTGCTTGGTTTGACATCTAAGCTACCTGTTTGCTCTCCCTGTCCTCCCACCCCCACATTCTTCTTACCCCCCCCCCCACCTCCCCCCACACTCACTAACGTCCCCAGGTTTAGCCTCACTGACTGGACTTGCTGGCACATATCCAGATAGCTGCATTCGGCATCTAGGTCAGCATTACAAAATCCGTCCAGAGCTCTTCAGCAGGAGACACTTGTGCTCATAATTAAATACATTACAGTCTGGCTCCTCAGCTCAAAAAGCTGTGTCCGTGGGGCAAGAGGGACGTTTCTCTTTTGCCGCAAATCCAGGTCGCTGATGCTGCTCAAGTGTCTAGGTGTAAACATCCATTTTGTCAACTGGAAAGAATGCCCCTGGAGGGAATACTAGGCAATGGGCACCTCGGGGTAAGATACAGACCGTGTGGATTCCCACTGTGCCCAGTGTGATGAAGCCTGTGAGGAAAAAGGGAGATGAACAGGGAGCCAATATAAATCCCTGACGTTTTCCTGAAGGAATTTTTTTTTCTCTGTTGTGTGTGATATCTTGGACTGAAACGAACGAACAAGATCATACAAAAAAAAAAATTTGGAATTGCCTCGTGAATGAATTCACAAAATTAAAAATAAATGCACAAGTTCTTATATAAAAAGTCAATGAAATATGTAAACACAGTGTCTTCATAGTCTTGCCGGTTCGGAACTTTAAAAGAAAGGAAAATGTCTTGCAGCTCTCGTCTATTTGGGTTTCGTTTCCCCGAATCCCTGTGTTAAATTTCCTAATGTGGCAAAAAAGGCCTCCATCTCCTTCTGCAGCAGTTGGTTTCTCTGCTCGGCATCGTCCCGTGCCCTGTCTGCGTTGCGCACCTTTATTTCGAGCATGGTGTACTTCTTTTTCCCTTGGTCCAACTCTTCTTCCAGTCTGCTCACCTGCAATCTCAGCACCGTGCTGGATTCTTCAAGCCTGAGGAAAGGGGATACAGTTAACCTCTGCTTGTCTTCCACTATCAAAGCCTCTCCGGTAAGTTTTAACGCTCGGTGTCTAGCGACTGTTCATAACTGCACTGGGTTAAGAGGTTAAATGGTAAACCAAACCCTGATCAGTAGCAAAGTATCAGTCTTCCCTCCTCCCCCAGTCTTACCCGAAGGAGTGCTCTTAGACTGGGTAACTGTACAATAAGTGCCAGGTGCCCTTCAATTCCTTGCGCAAATATTTCACTCCTGTAAGCCAAGGTAGTAATATCAGGAATAATGGTGAACCCAGGCACATGAAAACGCTCGGGGAAGATGAATGGGCCATCCATAAAACAATGTTCGCCCTGAAAATAGCCCTTTGATCTTTTTGTAATAACATCTGTCACTGAGTATATTTAAGTCTATATTGTACGTGTCTCCCACCGCCCATGTCAACTCTGATCGGCAGCTAGAAGCCAGGCAAATCTGAATTAACCAGTCAGGGTACAGCCAGCAACACCAGTTAACTTGACCCAGCTATTATCGAGTGTGATCCAAACTAAAATTCTCCCTAATTATGGCTACCACATCTCAGCTAAATATTTCCGTTTTCCAACAGCCAACACCCATTCTCCAATCAACTGAACATTCCTCAGTCAAAACTCTGCTTGGTATTGACACGTTGACATATTGACGTATTGCATTATTAGTTTACGTCCTAACGTTAATATCCTGTTCCCATACATTGTTCTATGTAATTCCATGATGTAATACAGAAGGTGAATTAAAGTATGCACGATAGCTCTCAATGCTATTTAGTCCATCACCTCTCTGATTGTAAACATTATTACCTTTGAACTGTTAACTTCTACCCTTAAAAATCAAAAATTAAAGTCAGACAGCCAGATAATAATCACTATAATAATAATCTTTGCATTTGATATCGTGCCTTATCACGTTGTTGAGACGTCTCAAGTCAATTCACACACTAAACTGTAAGTGGATTGACTGCGTATTTGGGGGCGAAACGTGGCAATGAGTTGAGCACAGCAATGTCCCACAAACAGCCACAAAGTGAGTGACCAATTTCAAATTAGGCTAGATTTTAAATTAAAAGTCCAGTCCACATAAATTGTGGACATTTTGATAGATCATTATTCTTACATTTGGCTGTACTTCTCTCTGGAACTCCAGTATTACATTTCCTGCAGTTCCTAATTATTTCCACCTTTCCTTCAGACCGCCCGGAAAGCCTGAGATTTTGATTCAAACATGGCTTCAAACCATCTGAAATGTACCGAAAACCCACGTGTTCATCCCGGTGGCTTTACCTAACAAGGGGATGAAAAAGACGACCAGATATGAAGAGAAACTCATCGGCTGTAAGGACCTGTGAGGTACAGCCAGTTTTATCTACAGCTTTAAAATCGAGTTCTACTTGGGATGGAGTGGGGAGAGAGGAGCAAAATGTGGACTAATTAAAGATGGAGAATGCAGCCCAGCCATGCACAGTGCAGGGAAACTGAGCCCAAATCAGCAGAAATGTAGAATTGTGCAAAAAGGAAACGTAGTGATAATAATCATATAAGCTTTGTATTTGACTGTATAATTTGTGGGCGAAACGCGGCAGCCAATTGCGTGCTATCAGTCGTGGATCAATTAACCAAGTTATTTATTTGTTTATTTTTGAAAGGATTGTTACCCCCAGAAAAGTGTTCTGTCAATCGACTAACAACCAGGGTGCTAGGGATAATTGTTTGATTTGTACCTTAACATGTCAAAGCCTCTCAAAGTACTCTTGCTGTCAAGTGTAATGACTACTTTTGTAGGTACATGTGGCAGCCAATTTGCACAGAACAAGGTGGATCAGTTTTGACAACAACAAGATTACATTTGTATAGCGCCTTTCACGTCGGGAGGACATCCTAAGACACTGGACAGTGTACAGCATTTCAGACCTTAGCTGGGGTCAGGGGAAGAGAAGGGAGGGGAGGGGAAGGAAGGTGACTGATGGCATGGTCGAAGAGGAGGGTTTTGAGGCGGGACTTAAAGGAGGCTAAGGAGGGGGTGAGGTGGAGTGATTGGGGGATGGAATTCCAGAGGTTGGGGGTAGAGTGGCTGAAAGAGTTATTGTGAGGCTTGTTCATTCTCACATTGATGCAACTCCAAAAGATAGGACCCTCCTGATGTCCGAGTAGGTACACTAACCACTTATGTGCCAAAGTTTTCCTTTGGCTGAGTTTCGAGAACAGTCTGTTGCAAACGCTTCATCTGGCTAAAAGACTGCCCAACAAAGAAGCAACACCCTGTTACTCACAAACCACAAACTTGCCCTGCCTAACAACAACTTGAATTTATGTAATAGTAATAATCCTTGCATTTGATATATCATCTCACTAGGTTTTCGAGACATCTTAAAGCTCTTCACAGAATACACTGTAAAGTGAATTGACTGTATATTTTGTGGGTGAAACGCGGCAGCCAATTGCACACAGCAGTGTCCCACAAAGAGTTGTGGATTGAGTGACCGAGTGATTATTTTTTGTTACCCCTGGAAAAGCGATCCGTCAATCGACTACTGCTAGGTGTACGGAGGCAGGTGTAGTAAGGAAATTTGGCCAATGTTTTGCCCTGCCCGGGAATCGAACCCAGGTACTCTCGCTTTAACCACTAAGCTGCAGCACTCCATATTAGAGCCCTTCATGCAGGTAGCATCTCCTAGGTGCTTAACAGTGGTGGAGCTTGATGCTGAGTAGGAGAGGGAGGAGAGACAAAGAGCAATGTCTTCAGATGTGATCTGAATCATGGCTGCTGATGGTGGAGAGGAATGAGGGACAGCCGGAGGCAGCAGAGCGAAGGGAGCGGGAAGTGGAGTGTAAGCAGTTCGGGAGGCAGAGAGGTGATAGGGTATCAATTGATTTGTAAGTAAATGATTGTAAACAAGTGTTGCCCTACCCTATCCTCTGTGATCCTCCTAACCCAGCTGCTTTTTGAATGTACTTTTGTCCCATGTTTCCCCCCACCCCTTCTTCCCCTCGCTCAAGCTCACAGTTCTTTGTACGCACTGTGATGTGAAAGGAGATGTATTCGTTGCTGTTGACTATTACAATGCAGTTAACAAATGTGCATCATATGGGTACAGATGGGAACTGCTTTGGGATACCCATTTCCCCTTTTCGCCATAAAATACACAGTCAATCCACTTTACAATATATCCTGTGAAGCACTTTGAGACGTCTCAACTATGTGATAAGGTGCTATATCAAATGCAAGGATTATTCTTATTGTATTTGCTTTATAGAGTACTGGGTTTGTAATAATAATAATACTTGCATTTGATATGGTGCCTTATGACATCTCAAAGCACTTCACAGAATATACTGTAAAGTGAAATATTTTGTGAGTCAAACGAGTACCAGATAAAACTCCTACTGCAAGTTTGTCAAGCAATGCAAGAAAGAAATGCAATTCATTGGTACATATATTGACCCACAGTTATTCTGACCCTCTTCAGCCTCTTCAAAGAAAAAGATTGATCACTCATGTTGACCCGGTGCCCCTTTGTGCAGATGGCTGCAATAGCAAACAAAGCTTCAGATGACTCAAAGTCCACAGCAACCAACAGACCTCAATGGTGAGCTCCTCCTTCAAATATATCTGTTTGAAGATCCTGCTGCTGAGGTTGTTCAGGAGGCAATGTTTGCTGGAAAGCCTCAGGGCTTCTCTGAGCTTGACTCGGTCTATCGGCTGCATTGTTTGCCTTAACTAAACAAGCTACTTTGTAAGCCTCATATAGACCTTGCCTCCTGCAAGCTTATCAAGGAGAATTTCCTGCTTGCAAGTAATAAATGGCCGCTAGCACCTTATTAGGGCATCTAATAGGTGAAGACCTTCCTGTGTGTTGACTGGATTAGCCAAGGTCACTCAAGGGCAAATTATTTGCAAAAAAAACTGGGCATTATTTGGATTTGTAATATTTTCTGCCACTGTATTAAGAACAGCGCCTCAGGTAGACCAGTGTTGTCATAGTGCCAGAAGAATGTTTTAAGTGTTTTGTTAGCCCCAGAACAATGTTGATTATTGTGCACACCGAATTGTGCAAGTCAGAACAGACTGGCTGTACAAATGAGCACAATGGTCTCTTAACACTGTTCACAAAAACCATTGTGGATTTCACACCATGACCAGTTACTGTATTGAGTTGAGCTGTCAAAATAACCTCAGGGACAATTAAGAGGGGAAACATATGTGTCTGATATCTCAGCCTGGCTCAGCCGGTAGCAACTCTCATCTCTGAGTCAGAAGGTTGTGGGTCCAAACCCCATTTCAGGACTTTGAGCTAATCATCCAGGCTGACAGTCCAATGCAATGCTGCATTGTGAGGGTGCCATCCTTTAAATTAAATGTAAAAACAAGGTCGGGTCTGTCTGTTAAAGATCCCATGGCACTATTCACAAAGAGAAGAGAGTTTCTTCTGGTGTACAGCCAACAATCCTCCAGATAATATTCACTCATATTCATAGCTGTCTGGGGGCGTTGTTGTCTACAAATTGGCTGCTGTGTTTGCCTCCAAATACAGTCACCACACTTTCTTGTGAAGTGCTTTGAGACATCTTGATGGTGTGATAAGGAAATGTTCATCTCTGAGCTTTTGAAACTGTTATGAGGAATGCCGAGGTAAGCTGGACTCTCCTGTCAAGAAAATATCACACGTAGGTGTGTATACATGTAGTGTGTTTTCTCAATGCCCACGATGGCTCTGCCTACCAATGAATTATGTAATATTCCCTGCTTTGTATTTTGCTGAGTGGATATTTATACATCGAGTCTTGCTAATAAAAATTGAGGTCTGGAGGCGTACTGAGCTATTATGTTGAGAGTGCAACAACGTGATAAGGCGCTATATCAAATGCAAGAATTATTATATAATATTATAGAATAATAATAATCCTTGCATTTAATAGAGCGCCTTATCATGTATTCGAGACGTCTCAAAGCGTTTCGCAGAATACACTGTAAAGCGGATTGACTGTATATTTTACGGACGAAACTCGACAGCCAATTGCGCACAGCAATTAATTATAATTATTATAACCTCTCCGCAGCTTTGTATTCGTAGGAATTTAGGAACAGGACGAGGCTCGTTGAAACCCACAATCTACTCCATGTCACCGTGTGCTACTATTCCCCTTGATCCCAACTCCCTGCCTTCTCACCATCTCCTTTAATATTTCGACATCCCCGACTGTCTTATTTAGCCGCTCCTGATTGTCGCAGCGATGCCAAACCTTGGTTTGCCCTCAAAACGCAGCGATGCCCCCGAACCCCTGTGCGTGCGTGTTTTTCTTTGTAATCACCTCTTGATCCTGTTTTCGTACTCCGCCCTCTGTTTGCTCAGTTCCGACTTGAGCTCGGTGACCAAGCCCTGAAGTGCTTTCGAACACACGGCCGAGCTGTGAGACAGCGTCGCTAAGTCACTGTTGTCGCTGCAGCCCCCGCTGCTGACGGACACCTCAAAACGCTCGATCCTGCTGTCCTCCGCGCCCCCCCGCGCTTCGTTCAGCGGCTGGGTGACCCGCACCGGCCAGTCCGCTTTGGCGCAGTCGAGAGCTGAAGAGTCGCTCTCCCGGCCGAGGGCGGAGCTGCCGGCGGAGTCCGCGACCGAGATCTCGCAGGAGGAGGTCGACCAGGCCGTGCTGGCCGCGCTCTGCCTGTCGCCCACACTCAGGGAGAGGCTCGACGACGGCACGTTGTCATACGTCGACAAGCGCTGGGATGAGCCCAACTCTTTCGCTCGCTCCCCGGACGAGGTCCGCCGGTGCCCCCGGAGCGAGGACAGGCCGTTCATCAGCCAGTTGCCGCTGGCTGCTAAGTTCGGGATGTCTAACGTCGAGCCTCCTAGCTTGGCGCTGCCCGCCCGCCCGCCGGTGTGCTTGAACGAATATTTCCACGTGGGGAGCGTTTGGATCCTTCTCGGGCTGTGGGTGGTGTGGAGCTGCTTGTCGGCTCGCTCCTGAGAGGTGCTTTTCGAGCCAGCCACAGGGGTGCTGACGTTGACGTCCAGCGACGTGCCGCTGTTGGAGACGCTCTCCGTGTAGTTGTCGCTCTTGTCCGTCTTTGGCCCTTCGAACTCCCCTTCGGATACCCACTCCACCAGGGCGCGCCTCGCCTGAGCCTTCACTTCGACGTGCGCTGCTAGGATCTCGCTGTGACTGATGCGAAAGAGCCTGTGGTGTTCGCTGATCAGCACCGTCATTAGGGACTGCACAAGCGATGTGCCTGTCGAGAGGAAAACAAAGAGCAAAACTCTGCTGCAGTTCACGATTCATTGTAACTTGAAAGGGATTAGCAACCTCCATAACGACTGGTCCGCTCCCTCCGCGTCCCCCGCTCTGCCCATCCCACCGTCGGCAGTCTTCAGTCTTTCTGCCCCCACCCTCTAGAACATCATCCAACAGTCCCTTCGCCTCGCCCCCTTTCCTCCTTAAAGACCTATCTCAAGACCCTCCTCTTCAACTGCGCTATCAATCATCCTCCTACCTCTACCCTCTCTATCCTTCACCCATCTCAGATCCAATTCCTTGACTGTCTGTCCACTGCCTTGGGATGTTCTCCCGATGTAAAAGGTGCGATCCAAATGTAATCTGTTGTTATTTTAGTTGATTGATGATCTGACAGCCCCTTAAAGAGCTGGTGTGCTAAATGTCAGTCTATACTAATACCTTTGAAGCTCTGTTGCCAGTGAGGACAATCAGAAGATTTATTTCTATTTTGGAGTGAATGGTGAGGCATTGGGTTTCACTGCTTCTCCCAATGGAAAATGCCCTGCTGAATGGGTCGTTACATCTATAGCTTCTCTCTGGGGCTGTCTTATGCTGTCCAGTATTTAGAAAGTACTTCAGATCACAAGTCAATATCTTGTTGCTGAAATATTGCGCTTTTCTATTGATTATAGCAGGTCTGTTCAATGTGGGAAGCTTGAAACTTGGCCCTGGCATCCAACTGGTGACATGCACATGTTAAGCAGATCGAGTGTTGGTCGCACAATGCGATCACACTCCAAACATCCGAGGCATGACATTTCTCATGGTCTTGGCTTTAAGATCATGCAGAATCCTGGAAATTTCTTTTTGTTCAGCATCATCATTTTAAATTTTAAAAAAAATAATAATTAGATCACTCGGTCCACAACTGTTTGTGGGACACCACTGTAGCACAATTGGCTGTCGCGTTTCGCCCGCAATTCACTTTCTGTATATTCTGTGAAGAGCTTTGAGACGTCTTGAAGACGTGACAAGGAGATATGTCCAATGCAAGGATCATTATTATTTTGGAAACATTTTTACCCAGTTCTTAAAAAGCGAACCAGCTTCCAAACTAAGGCTAAACAGAAGAGTTTCCCAAAATTCTGCATGATCTTATGTTTGACGACAATGTGTTTTGAGGTTAAGACGACCACGGATTTTTGGACCTCTGTTGTCCGTTTCATGTAATTTTAGTAAACCTGACCTCCACAGCAGAGACCAAAGCAAAGATTGCGTTCATTGACCTGGTTGAGGAGCAGAAATAATCCAGGCTCAAAAGCTGAGCGATCAAGATGCACGTTTCAGCCTTTCACAAATCCCTGAATGTGAAATGAAATGGCAGCTGGTGAAACAACTGCCATCGAGCTGAGATCCCGTACCTTCCATGATGGTCACTGGGTCTTCTATTTTTGGACGCAGTATGTTTGGTCCAAACACCGTAGCTAGGTTTTGAACACTCATCTTATTAACGCTTGAGTAGGACTGAACTTCATCCAGGAACCTGCAAAGCAGTTTGCTACACATTAAATCAAGCAGTCAATAAACAATACAGACTGACCTTCTGAGCGGTCTTTAACAGTCGGTCTTTCGGGCTCTTTGCACTCTCCATAGCAATCAGTTCCAAATTGTATTGCGACAGACGGGGAAATCAAATTGAGCATGAGACAATTTGATTTTATTTAATATCCTTTTACCTACAAGCTTACAGTTCAATTGGATGATTTATCTGTTAATAATAATCCTCACATCTGATATGGCCCTTTTCACACTTTAATTAATTCTTGCAATTTATAATTATTCACATCATGTCCCTCGAAGCGCTTCACAGGCTATGCTGTGAAGTGACTGTGTATTTTGTGGGAGAACGTAGCAGCCAATTTGTGCAGCCGTCTCCCCCCCCCCCCCCCCCCCCAACCCTTGTCACGTCCAAACATCTCAAAGCGCTTCACAGAGTATTTCCGTGGGGTATTCTGACAGTATAGAGTAGATGCTAATTTGCACAGCAATATCCCCAAAATAGCTAAATGTATCCAGTTAGTTAATATATCTGGTCTCATCTATCAATTTATGACCATAGCCACGGACTTCAAGCCCTGACTCACCTGCATATATAATCTAGGAGGTTGTAATTGGCATGAGGCAGACTTATCACCTGTTTGGTCAGCTCTTGGATTCCCTGAATGAAAAGAACACCAAATATCTGAGGATCAGTACCGCAGGCAGGGAGAATCTAGTTATTTCACCTGGTAAACACAAACTTGCTCCCCAATCAGACCTGAACAATCGACGGTTGAGCCTTCAGCTTTTCTGCCCCCACCCTTTGGAAGTCCATCTCACAGTCCCTTCACCTCAACCCTTACCTCCTTCAAGCCCCTCTCAAGACCCTCCTCTTTGACTACACCTTCAGTCGCCCTCCTACCCCTCCCCTTCCTGCCCTCCACCCCTCCTGATCCGAACCCCCAGCCTGGGTGCAAATCCTTGACTATCCAACGCCTTCGGATGTCCTCCCAACGCGAAAGCGATGTATAAATGTAATTTGTTGTTGTTATTGTCAAGGTCTTCAGAGTTTTGAAGGATTCCGATTCTGTAATAACTTAATCACAGTTTATTGATGCAAAATGGCAATGATTGTAAGGAACCAGTTGGTATAGAGGTTCTGGAGAAGACATCAGACAGGGCAGCCCCTCGTGTAGGTACCCACCTCCTCCTCGTCCTTGGCCAGCAGCTGCGCGCACGAGAGGAAGTCCTCGTACTTGGCAAACGGTATGACTGGCTCAGGCAGCTCCCGGAGGTACAGCTTCAGCAGGGAGGCTACGGTGTGAACGTCAGTGTCACTGGAAGAGGGAGAGAAGGAACGTCAAACTCCTTGCAGACAAGCTGTCCAAAACACAAGATTGTTAGACAATGACTTTGAGGTACTTTCGGTTACCTTACTGCTCCAACTCCACCTCCCACCCCCCAGCTCGGGTGTCGAGCTGGTATCGTTTAGCACCTCAGGATGTGAAAGGCACAGAATAACTAAATTTGTATTGTATTGAATAGCAGGTGAATCCAAGACGAGGGAGCACGAATCTAAGATAGCCCTTAGCAGAACTAAAAGGGAGTTTAGGAGGAACTTCATTAGTTGGAGGGTGGGGAGAATGTGAAACTCACTGCCGGCAGCTGTGGTTGAAGTAAAAAGTATCAATGTATTTAAGAGGAAACTCGATGCGTACGTGAGCTGGGAAGGGAATAGGAGAGAGGACTAGGAAGGAATGGCCTTTCTGTTACATTACCCCCCCCCCGTTTCTGTTGATCTTTTGTGTATCGTTTCACAAAGCACACAGTAACCATAGACTTTATCCTCCAGTGTGTTGAGCATCTGGGATGATTGAAGACTGGCATTTGTATGAATCCCATGGTTAAATGTATATGACACAGGAAATACAAAGACCTCAATGGCTTCTTGGTAGAAACCTCAAGGGGTTAAATAAGTAGAGCCCAGATTATTCTGACCTGGATAGTGAACAAAAGGATTTGGATTTGGGAGATTGATGCTCTTTTTAATAGTTAATGTATTTTTCACTGAACTTCACAGGCCTCATCTTAAATATTAACAACAACTTGCATTTATATAGTGCTCTTCACGCAGGACAGAGTCTCGGAGCGCTTAACAGACACTGAGCTGGTGGGGGGAGAGGCAGGAGGTGACCATAAGCACGGTCTAAGAGTTCTTCAATCGTGATCTAAAAGAGGGGAAGGAGAGAGCAAGGCAGAGGGATCTGGAGAGTGAGCTCCAAAGCTTCGGGGCTTTATTTTATTAAGAAATAACAATAAAATAAATAATTTGTATGAACAATACAAGTTCAAAGTATCTTTCAGGATTAGCTACCTGTCAAACAATGGCTTTTCTCCACAGTCAAATGAATCCTGAAGCTCTTTGACCAAGTTGGCTTGTCCAGGCATACGAAACAGCCCCTCTTCATTCAGGCCGTGCTCCCGGATAAAATCCACGCACTGTTCAACCAGTAAAGGAGCCAGCCTCTTCCCAAACTTGCGTTCATACTGTACGGTGTCCTCCAAGCGCTGGCCAAATATACCTGCAATACATTGTGTTTGCAAACTGTATTTATACATTGTATTACACGGCTGTTCTTTCCCACTTGACGCATTTCTGTAATCGGCAGGGCTTACGCAGATGTTTTGAATGTTGTAACAGAAACCAAAAAACTACCAAGTTGTAACAAATGAAAGCAGAGGGAATGTACTTGAAAAGTTTTTTTCTCTGACAATCTGAAGGAGATTTTTAAAAGGCGAGAACATACACTCCAGAAACTCCACGGAACAAAGTCTTGAGATGATAGAGCTTGTTTTTGACCAGACTTGAGAGTGTTTAAGGGTATCCTAATCATGTCTTCAATATTGTGAGGGGTTACAATTGGGGTAAATAGTAGATTATTTCCACTGGTCCTTAATGAGAAAGGGAGCAAGTTATTAATAAAATAATAATATTTACATTTGGTTTTATGCCTTTCACCTTCGCAGGACATTCCAAAGCACTGCACAGGATATACTGTAAAGCGTAGTGACTATGCATTTTGTAGACGAATGTAGCAGCCAATTCGCCCACAGCAATGTCCCACAAACAGACATGAAGTGAATGACCAACTTTATCAAGGGGATTGCTGACCAGGGCACCAGGAGAAACTCAATTCTCTTTTCGAGTTGTGCCATGATATCTTTAAAATCCCCCAGTACTGTATTGGAGTGTAAGTGTAGACTATTGAGTTCAAAGTCCCAACAAATGCATTGGAAGGCGTCTGATACCCATAGAAACCTCCTCTCGGTATTAAAAAATAAATGAATCAAACACTTTGGGAGAGGAAAGGGAGAGGATAATATTGGTGGAGGTGATACAAAAAAANCTCTTTTAAAGTTGTAAATTTGTTTTCCTTCAATTAGGTATTTGGCATCAATGGAGGTATCGTACTATAGTACTGCATTCAACAAGGTACAAAGCTTTGAAAAGCATTCTGTAAGAGACTGCACAGTATAGACCCCACGCCAAGGTACAGTACACTGTCTTCCAACTTCAAAAGTCTTTTGCCTGGAACAGTATCAGATGTGCAGTGGGATGGGAGTGTTGAAACAAGATGAAAAAAATACACAGCTCAGTTTTAATGACTTTGCCTGAAAACTGTTCAGGCTCCAATTATGTAAACAGCTTGTCAGATTCTGAAATAACCCTTTCAGGCAGTGGCAAACACTTGGGTTGTTGCTGTCTGGTAAACGGTGACTCGGACAGGAAGCAGATCCTGTACAAGCAGTCAAACATGTGGATAGAGCTACATCGGCTGAGTGTCTCATTCTTATTTACGTGCCTACAATATCATGGGTTTGTTGGATGAGCCACGCTTTCACATCCTTTTCGGAGCTCCGAAATGTTACCGAGATGGAAGGGTGCTATATAAATAATAATACTTCCATTTGACATAACACTTTCTGTCGTTGAGAAATGCTTCACAGAATATATTGTAAAGTGGAGTGACTGTGTATTTTGTGGGCGAAACGCAGCAGCCAACTGCGCACATCAATGTCCCACAAACAGTCATTGATTGAGTGATCAATTTTGTTTTGAGGGATTATTACTCACCGGAAAGCGATGCACCAATCGACTAAACAACCATGTTCCTACTTCCTGCTAAGTAAGTAGAGGGGTTTCAATTTTAAATTTAAGTTTTAAATGTTGTCCCTTGCATGAATCAAAGGCAGAGTGGAATCTATAAACAGTTATATTATAGCTTCATCTAAATTTATTCTTATTAATGATTGTACTGATTCGAAGACATGATAAGGCACCATATCAATTGCAAGGATTATTATGATGGCTATATTTGGTCATTTCACTACTTGCGGTGGTTATTTTGAGTGTGGGTTAACTTCAAAACACGCTATATGTGTGAAGCGAGGCAGCATTGTGGAAAAATAACTATTTCTGTGTGTGTGTAGAGCCAAAAAAAGGTGCGTTGTCCTTCTCGTGAACACAATTTTCACCTATCACGATGCGATTAAATGTGGTTTATGGATAAAATTTTTAAAAATTGGCACATATTTTCCAATAAGGCGTTGCCCCTTTAACAGTCAGGCAGACAGCGTTCCAGAGATCGTTTCAATGGGTTTCTGTGGTGAACTGACAGAAAAAGCTGCGATCCAGTCATAACTCACTCACACCTGCATGAATGGGCATTAATTACATGGCCTGTTTACACTGCTGGAAGCAAAACAATATCTCTTCCAGAAGCGGAGTGATATGGATTGGGATGCCTTATTCATACTCTATACTTTCTGCTCCTCGTTGCTCATGATGGACAGGAACGGAGCAGATAATGCGGTCTAATTTGCGATACTTGCAGAAGAATTTTTTAAATGTTTAATTGGAGTTGAGACTCAGATCAGCCATGATCTAGCAGAATGGCAGAACGGGCTGGAGGGGCTGAATGGACTACTATTCTTATGTTCCTGTGACTTCTTAACAGCAGATCCTGTAATGTAGTTTCCAGGAGACAGACGCCCTAAGCAAATTCCTTTGTGTCTGCCTGAGAGGGATCAGGGTATTAACACATTCTGCTATTTTACAGATTCTTTCGTGAATATTACAAAGTCGACCCCATTGTTAATGAAATCAGGCCCAAATGTTAGAGTTAAGAAATAATAATCCTTGATTTCGAGATCGTGCTTTTTCACATCAACAAGACATCTCAAAGCACTTCACAGTATTTACTGGGAGGTGTAGTGTCTGTATTTTCAGGCGAATGAAGCAGCCAATTTGGGTAAAACAATGTCCTACAAATAGTCTTGTAGTGAATGACACAATCTTTATCTGGGGGATTGTTGACCAGGACACCGTAAGAAACTCCCTTCTCTTTTCAAATAGAGAAACAGGATCTTTAACATCCACCTGAATAGGCAGATATGACTCTACAGAGTGCAGCTCAGTATATGCTTTATTAATTTCTTTTTATATTGAAGAGCTAGTCATGTGACCAAATCATCCATCTCAACCCCAATTTGTGCTCGAACTAGTCGCCAAGATCCTCGAAACAGTTGAGAGGAGAACGAACTGGTGATTTGCCAGTCTTACAGGTATGAAAATAGGTGTTCCTCACAGCTCAATCCCTCTAAAACTGGGGATCAGCCTCATTGTTTTCCTTTACTCTGTCTCTAGGGCCAAGTTATGTCACCGTGACCAGAAATGTGCGTCGTGCTTCAGTTGTGACCTGACCAGAGCTTGCGCCCAACCTCTCGGGATCTGTAGCCCAGAATCCAGTTTGTTCAATTCCATTCATGAAAACACCTCCTGGAGGTTTGGAAATGCTGAACAGATGCTCAAACTGCCCTGAAAGGATTCTGCCAGTTCTCTCCCAACTGAAGTCGATGATCAGTGCTGAGCTGGGAGGAGATAGAATGCCAAACAGTTCCACTCCCCCGCCGGAGGCTATCTAGGTTATGTGTTTGGGGGAGTTAATATTCAAAACCTGCAGCTTATGCCCGTCTATTTTGGGTAAAATTTGTGCAATTTGAATACAAACTAACACTGCGCTGACTCGCAACAATTCTGCGTTAAAGGGATTTGAGGATCTGAATTTTTTTTTGCTGATCACAATAAATAATAATTATCCTTGCATTTCATGTGACACCTTTCACGCCGGGAGGAAGTGTCAAAGCACTTACAGGATTTACTGTAAAATGTAGGGAATGTGTTTTTTTTTTGCCCAACATGGCAGGTAGTTTACATACAGCAATGTCTCCCAAAGAGCCATGGAGTGAGTGACCAATTTTATTTGGTGGATTGTTGGGCAGGACATCAGGAGAGAGAAAGTCCCTTCTCTTTTCGAATAGTACCGTGGGATCTTTAACATCCAACGAAACAAGCAAGAGGGGCTCAATTTAACATCTTTTCTGAAGGTTATTCAGCAAGTGATATGAAGTCCTTTTTGTTTCTGTTTCATCTTTCTGGGCTATCTGTTTGATTACTCTGTACAGACTGAACTGCTTCTACTTTCAATCTGTTACAAAGTCCAACTGGGTGGATGTTCTTGCATCTACTCTTTAAAAACAAAAGCACTTCACCCTTCTCACAACTGATTTGCATGCAGAATTCTTCTCGTGGATATAAATTCTGGTGCACATTATCCTGCGATTTCTCAGCATTGTCGGAGGTGCGGTCCTTCGGATAAGACGTTAAACCGAGGTCCCGTCTGTGTCGATGGGTATTAAAGATCCTTTCCGAAAAGGGAAGCAAGTTTCTCCCATTGTCACTCACACTTTACAGTAAATCCCGTGAAGTTCTTTGAGGCGCGCTGATGTGAAAAGCTCTTTATCAAATGGAACGATTATTTTTCTCATTATTACCGTCTCCTATTCTAGACTGTCATTAAGGACCCGAGAGCTATGTGCAATCCATTGGCAAACGGTTCGGGGGCAGGAATTCAATTCTGGGATTCAGGTTCAGGAGCCTGACAAACATTTTGGAGTCCTGTAGTGGTTAGTGCGCTCGCCTTGCAAGTGAGAGGACTCGGGTTCGATTCTGGGCAGGGCAAAACCTTAGGCAAGTTTCCTTACTCCACATGCCTCTGTTTACCTAACAGCAAGTAAACCCGATTGTTAGTTGATTGGCGGATTGCTTTCCGGGGGTAATAATCCCTCCAAAAAAGAATAGTTTGGTCACTCAATCCACGACTGTTTGTGGGACACTGCTATATGCAATTGGCTGCCGGCTTTTGTCCACAAAATATTACAGACAGTCCACTTTACTGTATATTCTGTGACAGATATATACTACTTTAGTACAGTTCTCGAAGGGTTAACATGAGAACGGACAAACAAAAAAAATGATCAGTCGTAGGAGTTGTTAGTACAAAGCTGAAAAGTACAGCGAGTGCAACACAGTTTAGTATTAGACTCTCAATAACATATCCCCGATAAAGAAACCTACAAAGCTCTCAAAGATTATGTGTGCTGTTCAAAGTAAAACCTTAGAACAAGCTTAGTTATACTCAATTTCAAATGACAAGGACTGATATTAAAACACAGAGGCAAA